TCTCTCTCTCTCTCTCTCTCTCTCTCTCTCTCTCTCTCTCTCTCTCTCTCTGTGGAGGAGTTGGAGAACTACGGGATCACATTTGACACCTAAGGAAGAGCCGCCCTGCAATCGAGATCTTCAACCTGGGCACACTCAACAATTCCTTGTTGCATCTTGAAATCCGTATTGCCAATTGCAGAATAACCTGTTTTGTGCAATTGTCCTTTCACATTTGCTGTTGGCTTTTCGGTGTCTGGGAAGGAAGTTCATGGAAACTTATCGTGGGGATGTTTTTTTTTTTTTCCCCCCTGGGGATGGGTTACGCGTTGTCCAAAATGTTTTTTTGCAAGGGAGTATGAGCAAAAAAGACACGCCCACATGCGAGCTGCATGGCGGATGAGTTGGTAGAAGAAGCCACGCACTTGCTTGCAAGAGTTGCCGATGATGAGTAGTGATAGCAGAGTGTTGTTTATGTTGAATGGTTTTATTATTTTGAAATTTGTAGTAGTTAGAAATTTGAATAAATTAAATATTTATTTTCTAATCTAAGTAATCTTTGAAATTTGGGGTGTTTGTTCAGAACTTAAAGAGTTCTTTTCTTAATTACTGTTAAATAATTCAACTAGTATGAAATTACAAGTACGCAAATTTCGCAAAAGCCCTTACGATCGTCCTTCTTCTCTAGAAGGCGTTATTAGTGTTTCTCTTCACAGAATAGATATGAATTGCGACATTATGAACTAGGTTACTACCAACTTCACCTGAATAGAATGTACAGTCATTATGGCTGTATCTATAACTGATGTTGTTGCAAATACAGCGTTAATTACTGTAGTGCCACCCGGCCAGAGTGGGAGGCGAGGGTCTGCCCAGCCAGTCCAGGTGGCCAGGAAAGTGTGCAATATAATTTTTCCCCCTGATTGTGAGGTGTGACTGCGCTTCTCGCCAACACACAGGATCCACCTTTTTCTTTGAAAATTTGCAAGTTGAGTCGGGGTCTAGGGGTGCTGGGGGTGAGGGCTTTGGTCAGGGATGAGCGCTGGGCAGCGGGAAGGGAGATGGCCGAGTGAAGGGGGATGGAAGAAGAAGAAGAGGAAGAAGAGGAAGAAGAGGAAGAAGAGGACGAAGATGATACTGGAAAGGAGATGGCGGAGGGAAGAAGATGGTGGGGAAAGAAGAAGAAGAAGGAGAAGAAGAAGAAGAGGAAAGAAGAGGAAAGGGATTCAAATGGGTTTGGAGGGGGCTTCAACTTTTGGAGGGGTGTATTTTGGTTTCTTTTCTCGGCTACCAGAGTGGCCCCGGGCAAGTTGCCCGGCCGGGCAAAAACAAAAATAAAAATAAAAATAAAATAAAATCAAATTTGGTAAAGAATTTCGATGTTACCCTGAGGCAAAAGTTGTTCAGTTTATTTTTGTGCAGCAAATAGTTTTTTTTTCTTTTTTTTTTTGCTGGGCCCTTCACTGGTCCTCTCACAGCCGAGCCGCCTGGTCAAACAAGGTGACCCGGACGGCCCGGCTGGTAGCCCAGCTTCTTTTTCACAGCCTCTCGTTTGTTGTCCTCATCTCCCTCTCGGCCTACGGTTTACCGGGCAGCTCTGTTTGACGATATATATATATATATGATGAGTCGGTGAAACTCCGACGAAACAGTTTGTCACAGCCCCTCGTTTGTTGTCCTCTTCTCTCTCTCTGCCTACGGTTTTACCGGGCAGTTCTGTTTGTGACGATATATATATATA